CACACACACACACAAAAGAAATCTTGAATTTAAAATCTAGTGTAAAAACTGAACTAGTGTATGTATGAATAACAATCTTTGATAGTGGCCTAACCATTGCACTCTCATCACCTAAATACACTACTAGTAATAAGAGGAACAAATAAGACACAGTAGTTAGAGTAAACTGTGCAGTAATTTCCATTTGCGACATCTGCAGCGTATGTCATACCTGCTGGTTGACATCTGCCCCATTGTTGACCAGCAACTCCAGACAGAGGGCACCGTTGGTGGAGACGGCAGCCAGGTGCAGAGGGGTGTAGCCGCACTTGTTGGGCTGGTTAACATTAGCTCCATGGTTCACCAGCTCGGTAGCCACCGCCTCCTGCCCCATGTAGCAAGCCACGTGGAGCGGAGTGTTTCCAAAGCCATTGGGCTCATCAATCTGACAGTAAAACACAAAGGTGACACAAGATCAGATTGTGCCTCGAGCCTGGATTCCTGGAAATCTTAAAATACAAGACATATTTTAGCTGCTGATGATAAAAGACTATTCATTATGCAATGTGACATTTAATAAAACAGACAATACGACAGCGTAATTTGGCTAGTTTGAAAATCTATATATATACAACCACTCACCTCTGCCCCCATCCTCAGTAGGTACTTCACAATTTCGATGTGACCACTTGCAGCAGCAGCATGGAGAGGTGTATAGCCCTGCTTATCCTTGCAGCTCTTGTCTGCACTGCGGGACACCAGCAACTTCACAACCTCTGAATGCCCTAAAGGAAACACAAACACACACATGTCAGTATTATTCCCAACATGAATTACATTTTATTTGACAAATTCACGGCAATAATGGCCACAAATAGAGAGATTTAAGCAAATGACGCCCCACAATTGGTTCTTTCAGTGATAGTAGGGTCTTTTACCCCTCGACTGTGATGTAAGGACTTGGCCATGTTATTGCTCCTCATTTGAGACAAACTTGCAGTGAACAATGGGAGCTTTTACTGCTATCTGACAATGAAAATTTGTGTTGTGCAGCATTGGCAAGAAAGGAAAACTTGCTTACCCAAGTAAGCAGCACAATGGATAGGCTGTCTCTCCTTCTTATCGATGGCACTCAGGTTGGCCCCTTTGTTCAGCAGCAGCTTCACCATCTGTAATAAAAATAAATACATTTGAAGAAACACCCCTTTTGCGGTCGCATCATTTAATGAAACCTAAAGAGGAGAAGGTCATAACTCTTACCTCCTGGAACCCACTCTGAGCTGCGTGGTGCAGGGCAGTTCTGCCGGTGCGATCTGCCATGTTCAGGTTGCTCAGCTGGGTTAGCAGGGCCTCTGCGCAGCGTGTGGCGCGGTTGGCAGTAGCCACATGCAGCGGTGTCTGCCAGAACTTGTCTCGTGCGTTTGCCTCTGCTCCGCGCCTCAGCAGCAGACCCACTGCCCTCTGGGGAGAAGGAAGGAATCACAAGAGCTTAAAGTACATGTCACATCTGCAGTTTGCAGCATTTCCTGCAGTCAGCACAATATTTTGGTGCAACTTTATAATCGCTGTGGGTGAATACATAATAGAATTAAAGGATGAGGTCATTTGACTGAGAGATAATTGGACTGCTTGAAATGGCAAAAGGAAATGAGTTTATTGCTTACTTCATTCCTGGAAGCAGCCGCCCTGTGCAACGGGGTCAACCATACATGGTCTTTAGCATTTACAGTGGCACCTGGCAGACACACAAAAATACATCAATTATTTTTTTTAGGGGTCACAAAGATGCTGGTGAGAAGAGCAATACAGCTGCAGCTGCTGGTGTGATGACAAAGGATAAAGTACGCACCACATTTCACTCACACAGAAGTATTGTAAATGCATAAAGATCACTCACCTGATTCAATGAGGAGGTCCATTATATGGACGTCACCCACACAGGCAGCAGCATGAAGTGGCGTACGGCGATCTTGGTCCTGAGGGATGAACATTATTCTCAATCAGGGACAACCTTTAGTTTAATGGACGATACGGGGGAACAAATCCTTTCGTGATCTGAACCCGTTTTGCTTTCGAACCTAATGTACATCATACATACCAGTGCATTGACATCCTCCTTTTTGTGCAATAATAGTTGAACTTCTTCAGCATTACGATTGAAGATGGCCTGGACCAGAGGAGGCTGCAATACAGAAACACCTTCAAGTTAACAGCTCCGATAATGTTGCATACAATTACGTTAACGTCCGTGGTGCAGTGGTCCCTGGAGAAGTGGGTTAACACTCTTAACCTTTAGCGGGCCCACCCAAACAGCAAGAATTACACAGCCCTTGACATAAAACAAGTAACAATGTATGTGATGGCCTCTTGCAATAATTTAGTTCACCCCAGCTAAAAAAAAAAAAAAAGGGGTCCAAGTAAAATTTGCAACTGAAAAACTTCTGCCCCCTGCTGACTTGACCATGAAGAGGAAAGCAGCCAAAACCAAAAATAGTTCATTTTAAAGTGCAGCAACCTTTAATCCAATCCCCTAGGCTCATGCCTTTGCCCATCCCTGCAAAAATAAAACCCCAGCTCAACAAGGTGACCACTGAATGAAGTGTGTAAACCAATGTTGACTGAAAAAAAAGATAAGACACCTGCGAATGACCCTGCACCTAAACCCAACCTGGGTAACGCGCTTCGATGTCCATCCACACTAGGATTTATCAAGTAAAACTAAAAAACAGCGACAAACGGTTGAGTACCGCTATCACGGGGGTTAAATGTTGTATTACGCGCGTTTACTGCAGCTGTTAAAGAATTTAACCTAAATGCAAATTTTCCTCGCCTCCAACCCCCCCTTTTCCGCAAAAAATACCCTGAATCCCGGCTGCGGCCTGCGGCCCTTGTCTCCCTCCCTTCCTTAAACTCAAGCTAAGCCAAAAGCCGCTCTAAAACTTGCTTACCGCAAGTTAGCTCCCGGAATCTGGCCCCCGAACCCCCAAAGAGCAGGGCTCGACTCCAAAAGAGCCTGCAACAAACGCTGTGGCTTGATTCCCGAAGCAATCGCTAACCACAAGGGACTGCAATCGCCTTCCCACTCCCCCGATGTGCGCCCCTTAAAAAGATAAAAAAAAACACCGCACCGCCCGACGAGGCCAAACGAACCGAAAAACAAAAAACCGTAAGAGCGAAATAAAGACGTGATGTGTTGCGCACAAAAAAGCGTCGCCAAAAGCAAAATAGACGGCGCCACAAGCAACCAAACACCAGGAGCGCTTTATTTTACAGCCCTACTGTCTGCAAAATGTTGAGTACTCCCATCTCCCAAAACTCCCAAGCCCAAGGAAACGAAGCTCCTTCCATGAGGATGAAACCTTCGAGGTCAGATTGCGGTGCGCGCCTAGCTGTAATGCCAACTTTTCAGAGCCCTACACCCATAGCTGGTTCAAACACAAATGCGTCTTGATCTGTCACTGTTGTTGTCTGTATCCTCCCTGCGGTCTGACGATACAAGGCTACGACGTGCTGGTCCCGCCTACAGGCGTGGCGTCTGTGTTATTCGCCTGCTCGGGTGAAATGGCGAAACATCTGGTGGTCGAAGGCTGTAAAGCACCCTGGCATCACACCGACAGGGGTGGTGCTGAGCGACGTGTTTAAGGGTTACAAAGGGGTTTAATGTTTATAAAAAACGTTAAAATATAATATATATAATTCGTTTAAGGAGACAACCTGAAGCTGTGTTAATGTAATTTTGTAATTTTTATATAAACTAACTTTTTGGAAATGT